AACGTTAATGCCGTCATCACGATTAAAGCGATTAGATTAGCGAAAAGGAGAAACAAGCAAAAGATACAGGTAAGCAGATGTGTCTTTGGAAAGTATTATGTAACATGAAACAAGATAACATTCATTAGTAGGGATTGGGAAAACTTTTGTTTACCTTTGTTAGCCACTTGGCTATGATAGTAAAAAGTAGACAGACAGTAGACACTGATGTGGCTTATTGAATCTTTTGGACTGTGTTCAGCACAATATTAATTACCCATTAATTGGAAGAGGTGTATTGCTGATTTGTCTGCTATTCTCAATGTGTGATGAAATATAATGGCTGTTTGTTAGCCATTTGCATATTCTCTCTATATATATATAAAATATTTATTTGATTAAATTCAGTTTGGTTCCGACAACAGTTTTCCATAATAACGTATGTTAATGTACAATCCTTAATATGTTTTATGTGTGTGTGTGTCTGGGGGAATGGAGGGTGGCAGAGGGAGTGTTCGCCCAGGGCACCAAATAGGCTAGGACCGCCCCTGAGTAAACCAGAGTTTTAAAGGTCGCGATGCCTCTAAACAATAAAATCAGCCCTGAGCACCGACAACCTCTCACCCTGCGACATTTTCACTGAGTAATGAGAAACAGTCTCTGTTTCTGCTTTTTACTTATCTCTGTTTTATTCCCCCATAAACACACACACACACACACACACACACACAGTAAAACCCAGGGAGGATGTATTGATTTATGAACACAGAGCTTTATTCTTCACTGAGACTGTACAAGCTTAAATATCAGGATACAAAGAAGAGGTGCATGATGGGAGGCTCAGCCGACGTCCTCCATGTAGTCGGCTCCATGACTCTGACTGAGCTGAGAGATGCTGACGTCCTGAGTGGATTCATCCACCTGTGGACAGAGACAGAAATGAGCCTGAGGCTGCAAGTGGAGCTACAGGTGGAGCTGCAGGGGCATGGTCTCACCTTGTCACTGTGGTCGGGGCCCTCAATGGAAACCTCCTCGATCTCCTCGCCGATGCTCAGCTCGCTCTTGGAGAACTCAGAGCGGTGACTAAACAAATAGAAGAAGAAAAGTGAGACGATCCTCCACCTGCCCAGCCTGACCGCAGGACAGATATCACTTTAAAGCAAAACATGACAGTGGCTCTGTGGCACTGCGGTCAGCAACACATTGTGTCCTCTGTTCCTTCAAGCTGAATCTGAACAGCTGCTGTAAAGGTGTGGAAGGTTTCAACTACTTCTATTTTTATTTTTTTTATTTATATAGCACTTTTAATTACAACAGTGGTGTTGACCAAAGTGCTGTACAAACAGACAAATTACACAATAAAATAACACACAATAAAATAGCAATATCAATTAACATCAATACTAAATAGCTAATAACAAATAAATAAGTAAATAACTCTCATGCAGAATTAAAAGCCAGTGAGTAGAAATGTGTTTTAAGATAGGATTTAAAAAGGTTGAGGGTAGGAGCCTGTCTAATGTGGAGAGGCAAATCATTCCACAATTTAGATGCCACGACTGCAAATGTACGATCACCTCTAAGAACTAGTCTGAACCTTGGTGTGCCCAAGAGCAAAAGATCACCCGCTCTAAGAGCTCTAGGGGGCGTATAAGGCTGCAGTAGGTCTGACAGATACCCTGGAGCCTGTCCATTCAGTGCTTCATAAGTCACCAATAAGGTTTTTTTTTAATTGATTCTAAAACGTACATGGAGCCAGTGAAGCAATTTGGTCATAGTTCGGGAACAATTCCTCCTAAAAAATTTGAAAAGTCTTGGATAAAATCTTTATGGTATTTTGGAGGTCTGTAGACTGCTGTGACAAGTGTCGGTCGAGGATGCCCCACTTCAAACCACAGAAGTTCAAAACTTGAATAAGAGTCAGTTAAAACCTGTTTGGATGGATGCTTTGTGCAGAAACATTTAAAAATCCCTGAAATCTGAGAGCAGCAAAAACGTTGAAGCGTTAAAATCACAGCTGTGACGTTAAACACTGATTTAATCCATCATCCACATCAGTGATTACAACGCAAGAAAAACCACAAACTACTTTTTCTGTCAATGTCTAAACTCTGGTCTAACACGCTTTTACGAAACATAACTTCGTTTTGCCACTAGATGGTGCTATGACTGACGTTAGCTGTGTTCGGGGTTGGACTTTCATCAGACATCTGGAGCAGGCTGGATTTCCCAGTGAAAGATCAAATAAAGTACTAAAGTAATAAAGTACAAACAAGGTGCCGTAGAAAACACGCTCTGATGTAATAATAACAATAATAATACTAATAATAATGATAATGATGATGATGATAGCGATGCGTGGAGCAGATCCAGCAGGTTAAAACAGGACGTGAATAAAAACAAGTGTGTGTGCGTGAGTGTGAGAGAGAGAAACTCACACACTGGTACGTACCTGTTGAAGTCGTCGTCGTACTCGACCTCGTCATCTGAGGGAAAAAAGTGAAAACCTCGTTAATCATCTGCCTTCATCCAGCTCAGAGTCAGGGTGTTTGAGGACCTATTTGTTTGTTTGCGTTTTATTTATGTTTCTGTCATCGAGCAGGAAGAACATACAGCTAGCTGTATGTGCTGCTGCTGCTCACTTCCTGTTCCTGCAGTGGACACTTGTGTAAACAGGAAGTTTGTCAGTACCAGCTAAAGGTGTGCGAGCTCAGGCTCATCTGAACTTTATCAATAAATCGTTTTTTTAATGTTCTTTATTTGTTTACTTCTGAATGTTTTTGTTTATCTTGGCCTGAGACCAATTGTGGACCACTATTTCATTGAGTATAATCATTTAGTTTTGTCTGTACAGGATCTGAGCCTAAGATATGAAGGATCTAATCTGTGTCTCGTATAACGTGAAGGGCTTGAATAGTCCAATTAAAAGAAAAAAGGTGTTGAACCAACTAAAAAACCTTAAGTGCGCCATAGCAATGCTCCAGGAGACTCATCTCTCTGAAAAGGAACACAGGAAGTTGAGGAGAGAGTGGGTTGAACAATAATATAGATCTACTTATCAGGATGGGAAAAAAGAGGAGTTACAATTCTTGTTAACCAGTCAACATATTTCCACCATGAAAAAATATTTGCGGATAGGGAGGAGCGCTATTTGATGGTGACTGGCTCTGTAGGGCGGGTCTAAAATTACTTAACTAAATTTATATGCACCAAATGAGGAGTGTCCAATTTTTTTCAAGAATACTGCATCATTAATAGCAGAAAAATCTGAAGGAATGATCTTGGTGGGAGGTGATTTCATTTGTATTCTGAAAGCAGCTGTTGACAGACTCCCATTACACAATGGCCCCAAATCCAAAAAATCTCATAGTTTAAATACAATGATTAAGGAACTGGGCCTTAGTGGATGTGTAGCGTCATTTGCGACCCCAAGAAAAATATTTCACTTTTTATTCACATGTACATCGCAGCCATTCAAGGATAGATATGTTTTTAATGCCTAGGACCTTTATAGGGCTAGTCAGTGTGGCATAGAGGCAATCACTATGTCTGATCACGCCCCGGTTTGTCTGAAATTAAGAATCAATCCAAACAATCATTTTAAATATTGGAGAGCCAACATATCTATATTGAATAATGAAACAACTCGACAAGAACTTCAAAAGAGTCTGACTGAATATATTCAGTTCAGTGATAATAATGAGGTGCCCCCTTTAATCTTGCGGGAGATTGCAAAAAGTTATTTGAGAGGTAATATTATAGCAGTCTCATCAAGACTGAAAAATGAGGGATTAACAGAACAAATAGAACTAGAAAACAAAATTAAGAAATTAGAAAAAAGTCTATCAGCTAACTAAAGAAACTGGGACTTTGAACTCATTGAAAGAGCAGAGGCAAAAGTTGGATGATTTACTAACATTTAAGGCAGAGGGACAACTACGTTTTGCTAATCAGAAGTACTACCAACATGGTATTCGGGCAAGCCGACTGCTGGCATTTCGGCTGCGTAAGGAGCAATCAAGTAGGGTTGTTCATAAAATCAAATGTCCAAACTCCAGAAAAATTGTCTGCCAATCTAAGGAAGTTGCAAAACCATTTTTAATTATATAAAGAAGAAAATGCCCCAAATAAAATTGAAAAGATTGAACAATTTCTTAACCCAATCAATCTTAGTAAACTGTCTCAGGAAGAGGCTGGACTAATACCAAATCCAATCACCATTGAAGATATAAAAAAAATAGTATTGGAAAACTGAAAAACAACAAGTTTCCCGAAGTGGATGGCCTGCCTGTGGAGTATTAAAAATTTTTTGAAAAAGAGCTAACACCATTGTTATGCAAAGTTTATAACTATGCGTTTAGGTGATCACCCACAGTCATGGTCTGAAGTAGGGCTGGGCCATATTATAGCGTTCACGGTAATACCGGTACTATGCTAGGCAACGATAAGAAAATGAAATATCGCAATAGAATGTGGGTAAAACGCGCATGCGCAGTGCCGAAAAAGCACGGCAGTAACGGAGAATGAGAATGGGGAAAGCAGATTGTTGAGTGAAACGGAGGAACCAGAATTAGTTTGTAAAAATGATGCAACTTAACTGGTTTGGTGTTTGTCCGTCAGATACACAACAAAGCACATTTTTTTGTAGAACATGCAAGCGGGCCATAGTTATTGCTGTATTTGTCAGACTAAGGTGCTCGTAAATCTGGGAGTAATCTGGGTCCTAAACTCTGTCCTTTAAGGTCCCAAAGTCAAACGAACATCACTGAGAGTTAAAAACTGTCTAAATTCTTCCATTTTTAATAAAACGATCAGCGTTGCTGCTTTGCCAGGTGTAACTATGATGTTTAACATCCAGGCATCCATGAAAAAAGAATTCATTACATTTAACGGAGTTAGAAGTTAGCAGGAAGTTAGCGGAAGTTAGCTCGCTAGTTCTGACTGAGAGATTTCTGAAAAAAATCTAACGTACAGCACTGCTATCACTTCCAACATAAATGAAGACAGGAAGCTACACAGCACTGACATTTGTAAGGTTACTGAAGTTGGGCTAGCTGGTATATAATGATGTGCTACGTGATCGCTAGCGACACAGCTATGTTAGCATAACATAAACAGTGAAGCTGGAGGATGAACGCTAACACTTTTCCACTCGATAAAAGTTAACGTGAAGGTTCCTGATGGTGATAGACAAATGCAATTGCATGGCAGGATGCTGTAAATGGACCAAACTTCAGTCAGGAGAACAACTGAGATAATCCATCCACAATACGAGGTTAGTCATTAATATACTGCAACAACATGGGAATAGAGCAGCTGTGATAGAATACAGCATTAACGAATCAATGGTACAGTAGTGGAGGAAGAAAGAAGAATGAGTTGAATAAAGTTTGATTTATCTGAACCTTATCTGACTGCTTTGTTTCGCTTCATGTGTCTTATAATCCCGTGCACCTTATGGTCCGAAAAATACATATTTGCCTTTTTTGTTTGGCACACTGAAGTTTAATGTAGCAAAGCACCTCTTTTTAACTTCAGTGGTTATTATACATGGTTATGCTCAGGATATGTCAGCCCATTTCTACTGGAAACGCCTTTTGGTAAAACTTTCAGCAAAGAATTTGCATTTGCACAGTTAAATGTTTATATAGCTTTAATACACATAAAAAAACAGCTGCTTGTTTAAGTAAAATAAATGGATGGGGGTTTTTTTGCGCTAGTAAAGTTGTGGAGTTGTATTTTGTCTCGCAGAAATTATATCGTCAGTTATATCGTTATCGCAAATTTTCAAATATATATCGTGATATATATTTTTGGCCATATCGCCCTGCCCTAGTCTGAAGCTATTATTAGTGTCATCCATAAGGAAAGCAAGGTCCCGACATCATGCATGTCTTATCGCCCTATCAGCCTGCTTTGTGTTGATTTTAAAATTCTTACAGCCATTATTGCAAATCGAATCCAAAAACATACGAAAAAACTAGTGAAACCTGACCAAATAGGGTTTATTTCCCACAGGCAAGGTTTAGATAATCTTAGAAGGGCAATCAATCTTCAAATTATGGCACAGGAAAGGGACACCTCATCAATGTTCTTGAGCCTGGATGCGGAAAAGGCCTTTGACCGGGTAGATTGGGACTTCATGCAACAGACTCTCAGGCACATGGGCTTCAATGAGACTTTTATTTCATGGGTCCAAACTTTATATAAAAATCCCAAGTCTCGGGTAAGGGTTAATGGCCACTGTTCTGACTTCTCTCTGGGCCGCGGCACTAGAAGGGTGAATTGTTATCACCGTCCTTATTTGCTCTCAGTATTGAACCTTTAGCTGAACTGATCAGATCCAACCCTCTCATACAAGGAATTAGAGATGAAACCAATACACAACATAAGCTGTCACTTTTCACAGATGACATTTTGCTATTTTTAGGGAATCCAGACACCTCTGTCCCAGCCCTTTAAGATTATGGTACAGTGTCAGTTTATAAAACAAATACAAACAAATCTGAGGTGTTAATAATTGTCGGGACTGGGCCACACAGCCAGATCATCTTGTATCTTTTAGACACTCTAAACATGGTTTCAGATACTTGGGGGTAATTATTACTCCTAAAACCAATCAGTTGCTTACACACAATTATGATTCGGTTATTCAAGGAGATTAAGGGGGACTTGGACAGATGGAACCTACTCCCACTCACTCTTATGGGGAGGATTGAATGTATAAGGATGAATTATTCTTTAATTCAATTCAATTCAATTCAATTTTATTTAAACAGCGCTAAATCACAACAACAGTCGCTTCAAGGTGCTTACAGTCGACTCAAGGCGCTTCCACGCCTATTATTCCTATTTCAGAACCAACCCATTTTGATCCCACAGTCTGCATTGAAATTGTTAGAAAGCATCACATCTAAATTTATCATGCAGAATAAACGAACAAGGGTCAGACTCAAAATGTTAATGGAAAAGAAAAAGGGAGGCCTCAAATTGCCTAACTTCACAATGTACTGGGGAGCTCAATTAAAATCAATGGCTGCCTGGATTATTCATGATTCAGAAATGCAGTGGGTATCTATGGAAGAGTATTAATTACCAGGTATCTCCCTTCGGAGTCTCCCATTTCTCAACCATCAATCACGGAAAAATTTTTTAATAACTAATCCATGGGTCAAGCATACTGTAAAGATTTGGAACCAAGTGTTAAAAATGCTAAAAGGGAATTTGACCATGTCTCGAGCTGTTCCCATAAATGGAAATGTTGAGTTCCTCCCATCATTGTCAGATCGGAGTTTTGAGAGGTGGGTGGAGAAAGGACTGATTACAGTCAATCAGCTGTTTGAAAAGAATACTCTTTAAAAGTTTTGCCCAAGTTTGCTAAATATGCTTTATCCCCAGGGGACCATTATAGATATTTGTAGTTAACAGACTACATTACAAAACATAAACATTGGGACAATATTAGAAGAGAACCAACCGGGTTAGAAAACCATTTTATAAAAAGGAGTTTTGACCTTGTTCGGGTGTTGTCCAGTCATATATTGTTAACGTGTTTTATATATGTTTCATGTACTCTGTGTTATGTGATCTGAACCTGGTGCGTGTCAGCGTTGAATCCTACCTAAGTGCAGAGATCCACTTCTGTCACTTGGAGCCTTGAAGCCTCTGTCTTTGTCCTGAGATGCTCCTGCAGAGAAATCACGAGTCCCATTTTATCTGTCAGCACCAACAGCGTGACTGAGACTGCTCCAGATCAAACAGGAAGTTCCGCATCACCAGACCACACAACCATCCAACCACACGAACATCCAACCACACAACTATACCAGTTGGAGTTCACAGAGAACGGCCATGTTAAGGATCACAATCAGTTTGTTAAAGATCAGGTGACCTCACAGAAACACACTCGACCCAAACTCGCTCAGAGAGAAATCAAACTGACCATTCCTGCTGAGGTTTGGCTCCGACATGCTGCTTTGTCCTTTTCCTCCTCCTCCTCCTGATGCCGGTCTCTGAGCCTCGGACAGCGACCCTCCTTGACTCCCCCTGGATCCGGACACCTCCCTCTTCCTGTGGAGAGGAGACAGCAAAGACTGAAGACCGACAGACAGTCCAGCAAGTCAAATTAATCAGACACCCCCCACTTCACCCCAGATTAGACATCCCCTCTTCCATCTAACCAGAGCAGACAGCATCAAACAGCAGATTCAACATGGACCAGAAACAGCGTGAGAAGAGGAGGGTTGTAAAGCGGCTGGTCTATCAGCTCCGCCTACAGCTGCACAGTTCAGATTGCTGGTTCCCATGCTGTGGGGCATGGGCCTTCACCAGGTCAGGAGATAAACCTTAGGGGTCGTAATACGAACACTCAGAAACTTTTCGTAGATTTTACATTTTCTGCACAGATCAACCACTCCTGTTAAGTCAGCAAGAGTCTGACTGAAAACCGAAAGGGGTGCACTTGATTTATGACAAAGAGAAGCCAGCAACAGCTTCAAGGCAAAAATAAATACAGAAAACGTGGTGTTTAATCAGTTTATCCTGTCTTTATGATTCCTAAAGTCATCCCTGAAACTCAAAGCTGACCTTTTAATGAAGCCTATAAATCATTTGACTATGTAAGGAGATCCCCTTTCTCTGACATCAGACAGTTCCAGGAATATAAAAACGGTTTATCAAAACACTTTCGTGTTCACGAGAGGAACCAAAATGTCAGAGCAGAGAGGAAAGCCTAGAGGTTTGATGCTGACCTGCTTCACCTGGAAGGATTCATCAGTGGCCAATCACATGAAGAGAGGTGCACCTGCAGCTCACCTGAGCTCAGAGGGATCAGAGAGAGGCTCGTCTCGCTCGCCCTCTGAGTCAGCAGCCAGCATAGACAGGCTAAAGCCAGGAAAGAGAGGAAGAGGAGAAAAGAAGGAAAGAAAGGAGTCAGTGAACATCAAAGTCTGAGCTTCCAGTGAGGAGGACGTAATCAGCCATGAAAACTGTTAAACGCCATGGGGGAGTCATGAGCAGAGGAGGAGGAGAAGCTTGGAGCTCCCCCGTGACCAACTTTCTCCACAAATGTCATTAAAGTTTCACATCGCCACTATCAAACTGTAATCTGAGCCGAGTACAGCTTAGCCCACGGGACTGGCGTCAACAGGGATGCTGATTTAACTCACGCGTAATAAGGCGGACAGGCGAGCAGCTCCGAGTTTACCTTCCCCAACATGTGACACGGGGCACAGCAGGGTGGGCACAGGTAAGAGCAGGGCATGCTGGGAGATCTTCGGCAAATGTTTATGTGGTCGCTCCGTCAGGCGGTGCTTACACGAGTGTCATTCCTGTATCTCTGTGTCCATCTGTGGGTGTGACGCCCCCTGCTATTAATGGGCAGCAGCGTGCAGAGCCCATCACGCAGACAGGGAGCAGGGAGATCAATAACATCTGCTCATTGCTGATCAATCACTGATCTAAAAACTGTTCGATCAGACTGACATGGTTTCAGGTGCCGCCCAGACTCCGGCTGCTCCACTTTCACGCTCTACAGGAGGTCACCCACATAGAGCTTGGCCCCACCCACATAAAGCTCAGTCACACACACAAAGACAGCTCGGTCACACCCACAGAGGGCTCAGTCACACCCACAGAGGGCTCAGTCACAGCCACAGAGGGCTCAGTCCACACCCAGTCCATCTAGGGAACACCAACACCGTGATCCTGCTCCACATTCAAACCCCAGCTCACAGCTCTGAACGCCGCCTGACAAGCTGTTAGAAACACAGGATCGCTCCCACCATGGAGGAAACTCTGCAGCCAATCATCATCATCATCATCCTGGATAAATCTGAATGTTTGCATTCATGAGCTGGTCAGTGAAACAGCCCAGAGCACAGAGACACTTCAGTGAAAATCTGCTCATTAAGAACAAATACAAATAAATTATAAATAATAATAATAATAATAATAATAAAAACAACAACGATTCTTTATGCAGTCTGTAGTGAAGTGAAGTGTGTCTGTGTTGGTCTCCGCGCATCTGTTTCAATAAAGTTCTTTAAATAAAGAACGTACAGCTCCTCTGATTGGGCGTGACGGGACGTGCACACTCACTCGCTCAGACTTTTGCCTCGTCTCATGGAGGACACGATGGAGCCAGAGAGACTCTCCTCCAACACGGGGACGGCACTACCGCAGGAGGAGTAGGAGGAGAAGGAGGAGAAAGAGGAGAGGAAGGACAGGGAGCACGTTCAGACACAGCACAGGTGTGAACAGCACAGACAGGTGAAGTTCTATGGTGTTATTTTTGTGCAACTATTTGCCACTATCTCTGCGGACCTACTCGCAATTTGTCGCTTGTGCTCTCCACATCTCTGCCCCTGCGCGTTCAACTCTTTCTGTACAGTGTTATATTTGTGCCACAAAACCAACCAATCACAGACTTGGATGCAAAAATTCTGATTGGCTGTTTTGGTCTCCAATCAGCTCACTAGCTACTGTAGCCAAACCCAGGCAAATATCCTAGAATGCATTTAGTCAAAAACTCAAACGAGGCAGTTGCAGAGGAACGCAGAGTGGCAGGGTTTGATCACAAAATAAAATTTTAAGATATTTTCAGGCTAGAATGTTGCTGCGTAAACGTCAAATATCTGCTCAATTTATAAAGTCATCACATATTTGCAAAATCGTTTTCGGAGATGCCTGTTACCCACCAGCTGTGCGGTCAGCTGGTGGGTAACAGGCATCTCCGAAAAAGTTAGATCAGCACTTTTGCGAGCGGGTCCACAGAGATCTGAGCAAGAGCAAATGCAAAAACTGAGCAAGAGGGGCTGTTATTGTATGTGTATACGGATAATAGCAAACCCTGAAATACATTTTTTTGCACGCAGCAATGAATTTTGTTCGCTCAAATTTAGCTTTTCTTTGCTCAAAATAAATTTCTCCTTAAAATGCAACACTTGTACATGCAAATTTGTTTTACATGCGCTCAAAATGTTTTTATGTGTGCTCAAAATAGTGGCACAAATATAACCCCATAAAATTCAGGTGTGAGATGAAAGAGAGAAAGCTGGAACAATTTCTTTTAAATGCAAATGCAAAAATTCAGTTTTCTATTACAACATGTTTGCATGTATCAAAATGTTCAAATTGTTTGCAACATTTATTTTATTGAAACAATTTGTAGGAAAGAAAATCTTAAAATTATTTTTCTTTTTTGGATTCAGCAAATATTTTCTGGAAATTTTCATTTTATTTTGGAGGGGAGGGTAAATGTGAGGGGGAAGGATAACTACTGTGGTTGGAAGCTGAAAGGAAGTACGTTTGACCCACAAATTCACACTGACTCAGAGGTCAAAGGTCAGCCAAGCTCACCAGCCATAGGTCTTCTGCGGTTTGGGCAACGGGTCATCAAAGAAAGAATCTCCTTCATCGAGGTCTTCCTCCTCCTCCAGGTCCAGGTCCAGGCGCTCCCTCTTGTCCGCAGAGATCTCCTCCTGCTGGAAATCTCCTTTACTCAGAGAGCGTTCTGAGTCCTAAGCAGCGACATGACAAGTTCAGATCACACCGTGCACCCCAGACCGGAGGTGAGCAGGTGATGAAGACGCGGTGAAGAGGAAGATGTGGAGGCCGATTAAAGCTGCAGTAACGAGGTCACAGTGTTTCAGAGCAGAAAAGTTAGATTTGATCATAATCAGCTGCAGGTCTCAAACTAAAGCTGATGTTCAGCAGCCGGGAACTTCCTGTATGTTTCACAATGCAAGCTTTTAAAGAGGCAGCACCACAAGTTAGAAAAATGTTCACGTCTTCATTCAGAAATAAACAAATCTATTTAATCAGTAAAACTAAAGATGTGTACTCTTTTGCAGCTTTTATTCTTAAAGATGCGAACAGGAAGAAGCCATTTTATCACACAAACACAGAATAAACTAGGTTTATGGTGGCAGTGATAGTGTCTGGTGAATTCAGATGCTGTTGCTCACAGGCTTAGTGTACTGCCCCTCAGCAGGCTTCCTGAAGTCCACCAAATACAGCAGTGAGGGGAAGGAGGTAAAACATATTTTCCCATAATCGGATAACTGATTATTCTGAACTACGACTGATGCAAAAGTACTCTGGAAAGTTGGGGATGTTTGAATATTAAAAGATTTAAAGTTAGAGCCTTTCATTTTATTTCCTAACCAGAAGAGCTGTGATCATTATAGCTGATGTCTTATAAGATGAACATAAGTCATAACATGAATAGCTTCCTGTTTCTGAGCTGTGACAGAGGAGGCCAGAGAGGAGCGTTAGTCAGAAGTGCTGCTGTTTATGGTGATGGTTAGCAATAGCACAAAGTGAGTCTCTCATCTGCTCCTCATTGTGTTACCTGGGCTGCTGTCTGACTTTGTCCTCTGAGGCCTTTATACCTGGGGATCTGTGCAGGACAGGATAGCAGCTATCAGCTAACAGGCTAACATCAGTGCTACACGGCTATCAGCTAACAGGTTATATCAGCTCTACATGGCTATCAGGATAGTATTACAGCTAAATGGTTATCAGCAGAGCTATCAGGCTAATATCAATGCTACACAGCTATCAGCTAAAAGGCTAACATCAGTGCTAATATCAGCTCTTACATGGCTATCAGGTAACGGGTTAACATTACAGCTAAATGGTTATCAGCAGAGCTAACAGGCCATCATCTTCACTACATGGCAGTTAACAAGCTGAAATCAGTGCTAGAATTAACTCAATGCAGCTACCAGCAGAACTAACAGGCTAACATTAGCATCTTCAGAGCTAACAGGCTAACATCAGCGTCTTCATCTTGGTGCCAGCAGCTATAACTGTGTTAGAACACAAATTAAACTGTTCTAATTCTATTTTGTGAACTATTTATCCCACGGTTTTCATTCTATCGTGTACACATGTGCTAAAGTCTGCTGCAACCTGACCTTTAGTGAACTGTTTACTTTTATGTTTGTTTCTGTATGTGTTTTAAATATTCTTTATTTTATTTAGCTAGCACCAAATTACAACAACTGTTACCTCAAGGCGGTCGCGTTTGGGAAAAAAACAAAAAAACAAACCCAGAATCTCTGTGATGTCACCAGCTTTAAATACAGGGAGATGAAGTAAAGCGGAATGACCTTTGACCGGTCAGATGACAGAGCAAACGTACCTTACTGTGAGGTGGAGGGCTGACTTTCTGCTCAGGTAACTGGCTATGAGCCACACCCATATCAGAGTCCTGAAGCACCTGAACAAAGATGAGGCCTTGTGAGACTTGGAGTCTCTGAAGAGCATTTTCTCAGATTTATACTCTAAATGTTTCACATTAACTCATAAAATGTGATCAGAAACCATAAATTGAGTCTCACCACACTCCTGCACTGAGAGAAGAGCCGTCGGTACATCCCGAGGAACTGCTGGAAGTCTATAGCTGTAGACGTATTGATCAAATCAACCAGATCAATCAGACACAGATCAGTCAGAGCGCCATCAGAGTTTCTGATCAGTGTGATTGGTTTAAAATCGTTTTCTTACTTGTAGAGAAGTCTTTTTCTGAGGCTCTGAGCTCATCAGTGACGAACCTCTCCAACAAGTTCCTGTAGATCACACAAACAGATTAACCTTCATCATCATCGTCATCATCCTCAGACTCTTTCCGTGTCCCTCTGCACTGTCTGAAACAGGAAGTAAAACCTACTTGTTCACAGCGGGGAACAAATCAGTAAAGATGTTTTTCAGATTTTCTCTCAGCACTGAGCCGCTGTGGTCCTGCCGAGGGTCAAAGACAAAAGATCAATACTTGCAGCCTGTAGTTGGATAATGGCTGATGACATCACACACAGGTACAGTGTGGGGCTCACCTTGTCGTAAAAGTCAAACTTCTTATTGGCATTTGTGATCTGTTTCTGAGTCAGCTCCTACAACGAGGGGAAGGAAGGAAGTAGTTTATTTGCTGATAAGGATCAGATGTGACACGTGTGAACCTGTGACCTCACGCTAAACCTCTCTCAGCACGCTCAGTGATCAAAGAGCTGAAGCAAGATATTGGCTGAGATTAGATTGCAGCTCACAGAAAACAAACCACAGATTAAACCAAACAAGTAAGCAAGCAAACACACACACAAAACACACGCCTTATATATACACACACACATTTAAACCACATTGAACAGAAACCTTGGGGGGTTAAGGGATAACTCTGGATTATTTAATCTCACACTCAAATTGGCCTCTGAGTGATACCACGGATGGAAAAACGTTCAGAGACCACGCCCACACTAACCCATAAATGCCCCTAACAGGAGGACGGGTTGACGAACTGACCAATCGAGCTCCAAAAATAGCATGGAGTCCCCCCTCCTCTCCACGCTCCTTCTGACTCATCCATCTGTGGCGTCAGTGTTCAGTAGGAAGTGAGTTAAATGAATCATTTTAAGTCAGATTCTCATGTTTGTGTCAGCTGAGCCGTTTCTTTCAGAGGGATCAAACGTGTGCAGCCTAATTTTACATTTTGGTCCATTTCAGTTCTCATAGTCGCTCTGATCTTCTGTATTGTTCTTCATGTCTGTATTGTTTTTCATGTTAGCTCCACCTGACTGTCAGGGGTGAAGCCCTGCCCACCTGCTGCTTCAAATAATCCTTACTGATCACCTCATTGTTTACTTGCATGTAACCGCCAATGTGATTGGTTAGCTTCTGTCATCCACAGACTTTTTTAGTATTTAAACGAATAAAAGTCCAAATGTCTTCAAACTACACAAAAATTAAACAAACTTGATGTGGATCATGCAAAGCTGCCGTGGCAGAGTCCAGGAACTGAACAGAAGACTTCATGCACGTTACTATCAGTACTAGTGTCAGTAGCAGTACTGTAATACCAGTACTGTGGGCTGGTTGCATGTGCTGCAGAGTTCGGAGCAGAAACTAGGACACCCTGAGATCAACAGGAAACCAAAACCCTCCATCTACTGACATCATGACCCAGAATAACCCACACAGACACACGCACCGACACACAAACACACACACACACATACACAGTGAAGGAGAAGTCCGCTCATCTTGGGAATGCTCCCTCCTTGGTCTCCCTGCTCTCACACGCACACATTCCATCAATAACTCTTCATCACTTCACTGACATCATCATCCTCAGGAGGTTTGTCTCACCTCAGCCAAGGAGGCCGCTTTGTCCCGGTGGCGCCCCCTCCTGACAAGCTCCAGCAGCAGTGGAGACTTCCTGTTCAGGTCCAAGTCGGAGAGGCCGAGCTCCCTGGAGATCTGATCCCGCCCATCCAGACAGCTCGCCTGGACAAATACAGCAGCAGGAAACAAATAAAGCTTTATCAAAAAAACTAAACAAGAACTCGTCCAGCCAGCACAGGCTTCACGCTTAAGCAACAGCATAAACATCCTTAATTGGCTGATACTGGCTTCTTTGTTTAAAAAAAAAACCACACAGACAAAACTTGAAACAACTAAACGTTGAGCAGACATGGAGCGGACACTTAAAGGTCGTGTTGCATTTGTCAGCAATAATGTTTGCATTATTGCAGTCCGTTCACCCTCATCAGTGAGCCATCGTCGCAGGAAGCTCCTGCTGAGTAAAGTCGGGCCTAACAGAGTTTAATCTCAGCATACCAGTAAAATCATCATCATCAGCTGATCTGACAGTCATTACTGTTACCGATGGCTCTTTGCACGTCTAGCTCCATCTGTGCTGGTCCTTGAAACACCTCTGCTGTAAGGTTGTATGAGGGGGTGCAGAGGTGGAGGTGCAGCTGGATGCTTTTCTGCTCGGGCTGAGCAGTTTGTTCTAACGTGGGAGAATCGCATCGTCCTCGAGGGTTTGTGAGCTTTCCAGAGTTTGTAACTAAACAGAGAACAGAAACCGTCACACAGCCGAGGGGAAGCCAACCAGTGATCTAAGCTTCAAACCCACAAACCACGAGAAGGAAAATTGAGTCAGTTTGTGGTCGCGAGCGTGCCTCAGCGAGTCCTCGGCTACAGGAGGAGGAAACCGCACGCTGTGTGGCGCTGAGCTTCAAGTGTCGAACACGGCGTTCAGGAGCTGCTTCGGTCCTTTGTTATTTAGACATCATCGCTCACATTTTCATTCCAGTCATAGGCCGCCATCATCACGCCTCTAATTTATCGATACACTGGAATATGTATTATTATGGATCCTCTACTGATACCACAGCTCTCATAGCTCAAACACTCAAACAGCAAATACAGCTGCACTTTCTTCACAGCTTCATGACACCTGAAAGCAGCATGAGGAGTCAGAGGCAATGACGAGGAGGAAGAGGTGGAGGAGAAGCTTCTGGTACTCACAGAGTTGATCTCTGGCTGGAAGACGGCGAGGCTGAAGTCCAGGTTAAAGACCTGCAGGAAGTCCACGATCAGACTCGCCACCAGACGACCTGCAAGGGCATGACATCAACACTATCACCATCATCAAGATGCATCAGAGGGAAAACTTCTCTCTCAGCAGCTGAGATCATCTGATGCTGTGTTCAGAGACAATCTACCAATCCTTATCACTCATCAATCACTTCACGTATTGATTGATTACCTGGCGTTTCACTACTCATGATCTGTAAGACTGATCAAACACTAAAATCTGATTGATGTGACTTTGCTCCAATGGTCCTGACACTAATTTTCATGAAGCTTTTTTCTTCTCATTGTTTAACATCATTTAATTCCTGAAGGCCACACAAAGCATCGGCGTCTCATCGCTTATTCACACAATGTAATCCCAAAAGGTGAAAAACATCCTGCTGGAGATGTCCAAACTCTTCACATGCCTCTGAAGCAGGGAACACTGTGATGAGCACTGTGATGTCACTAGGAAACCAGAAAACCGTTTTTGGTCAGACGAACACGTCCTGACCTCCAACTCTCTGCTCGGCTTTCACACCACTGAACGTGGTCACTACTCATGCCACAGACCAACCAGGACTCAGCTGCAGGCCTCCAGTTTGACCTCAGTGGTTTAAACGAGTGTATGTCTGTGTGCATGTATGTGTGTGCATGTCTGTGGCGTCCTGCTGCTGTACGTTTGTGAAGTTTGTGTGACACCCTCGAGGGCCAAAGAGATCAAAGCTCTGATCTTCATCATCATCAATGTGACTGCTGCTAAATAAAGGACAGAAAATCACATACCAACAGGAAGTCACATAATGCAGGAGTGACCCAGAATCTCAGCGTGTGAGTCAGAGTTAGCTCTGATTGGTGGATTCCTGTTAATGAAGCGCACCTTATAAAAATACTGACAAAATGTAAACGTCACAATGAACACCTAAAATCCCGGTGAACTCCTGCTCGTCAACTCTGTCTGCTCCCTGCAGTGGTCTGAGATAAGACCAGCTGACAGCTGGAGCCACAGTGCCCCCCTGTGGGGCACATAGGAGCTGCAACACCTGCTGACCAAGGTCATTGCAGCCTTAACCTTTGCTGTCACAGCTCCAAAGGACGGCAACTGGTCTGTTCAAGAAAACCGGACTTACCATACACAAAGAAATGTATAACAATCATATCTTGTTGTATAAGGACTGCATTGCTTCAGCCAAATCTACATACTATTCTGGTTTAATCAGTTCTAGTGAAGGTAACTCCAGGTCTCTCTTTTTATTGTTTAGTAAAATTACAAAACCTCCGGACTCATTCCCCTCTCATATGGACTCTGCTGACTTTTGCAACTCTCTTATATCTTTTTTCACTCATAAAATCGCTGATATCCACCAACAACTTAACTCTGTAGGAGCTTCTAGCTGTGAAGTAGACTTTCTGTTTTCCTCTTCCCTCCATAGCTGATGTACCAAATCTTACTCAAAAATCAAAATCAACCACTTGTCAGCTCGACCCTCTTCCCACTGTGTTAGTTAAAGCTTGTCTCCCTTCATTGGCTCCTCCTATAACTAGTATTATCCACTCTTCCCTTAACACTGGAATTATTCCTCCATCCCTGAAAACTGCTTCTGTCACTATAATTCTCAAAAAGCCTGGTGCAGATCCCAATAATTTTGATAATCTCTGCCCTGTATCAAACCTCCCCTTTATTTTGAAACTCCTTGAGAAAGTTGTTGCCTCCCAGCTTCACTCATACCTGAATGACCATAATCTCTACCAACAATTTCAGCCTAGTTTCCGCCCCAATCATAGTACAGAAACTGCTTTGTTAAGGATTACTAATGACCTTCTGATGGCAGCTGATTCTGGTCTTTTAATCATCCTCATCCTTCTCGATCTTAGTGCAGCATTTGACACAATTTCTCATAATATCCTCCTGAGCAGATTAGCATCTATTGGCATTAGTCACACCCCCCTTGCCTGGTTCACCTCATAGCTCTCAGACCTCACTCAGTTTATCCAATTTAAATCACACTCTTCAAGTCTCTATCCTGTTTCTGCTGGCGTGCCCCAGGGTTCAGTATTAGGGCCTCTTTTATTCATTATCTACATGCTCCCTTCTTGGCCAAATATTCCGAAAATATAATATCAATTTTCATTGTTATGCTGATGACACCCAGCTCTACATTTCCTCCAAACCTAATTCATCCCTTCCACCTACCTCCCGCTTGAACTGTCTTATGGAGATCAGATCATGGTTCTCCTCCGATTTTCTCAAACTTAACAGTAATAAAACAGTTTTACTCTATCTTAACCAAATCTAACAGTTTCTCTTAATATTGAAAATTCCCCGATCCTTCCTTCCCCGCAGGTAAAGAGTTTGGATGTAATACTTGACAGTACTCTCTCATTTCATAACCCGGTCTGCATACTTTTCACTTAGGTAACATTAACCAACTTCATCCCATCCTTAGTCAAAGCTGTGTCCCAGATGTAACACAGGCACTTTTATTAACATACAGCATAGATGTACATGAAAAAATTACTCAAAAATAAATTATCAGCATTTATTAATATTGCTCCATAAATAAAAGAAAACAATGTTGTTTTTGTGCATAACAAAAAGCTCACAATTGTGCAGTCAAAATGTAAACTAACAGACGCTGAGTATAATAACAAAGAGACAGATCTTACACCTGCTCTGTTCCCAAGTTCTACTGCGTGACTGACAGCCTGGAGCTTGAAATCCTCTGTGTAACCGTGTCTCTTAACAGGAGCCATTTAAGGTCCTTATACGCACAAAATACGGTAACATTACGTTGAAGCACAGTACGTATTACTCCGCGACAGTGTTTGGCGCCCTGGGCGAACACTCACCACTTTTCTTGTCCATCTTCCATTGGTTTTAATTTTGCACTCCAGTATGAACACCCATCCCTCAACCCGAGGATCGCCACAACATAATCTAACACACCTACAACTTAGTTCAGCGTTCCCCAACCTTTTTTGCGCCACGGACCAGTTAATGCCCGACAATATTTTCACGGACCGGCCTTTAAGGTGTCGCGGATAAATACAACAACATAAAACTAGTACCGGTACGAAAAAAAAAAAGATTTATTTATAACACACGTGAAAAGACCCAGGAAATCCGAGTTAACAATAAAAATAATAACAAAATAACGCTAAAAACCGATAAAAACCCAGAAAACCATACATTTCACACCCGAGCCTCAACTCTCGCGGCCCGGTACCAAACGACTTGGCCCGGGGGTTGGGGACCGCTGCCTTAATTCACAGATTCACTTTGTCTAGGGTGTATTTCTGAGATTTCACACAACCCAGGATTCAAATCATGAATACATAATGGGCTTGGATTTACAACATTATAAATGAAATGTGCTCTATTTGGAAGCAGCAGGGCCCCCTCCCCTTTCGATGGGTTGTGTGTGAGACTTTAAATCATCAAACTGTAAATTTAAAATTGTTATTGATCCCTTTACCCCTGGTCCTAAAGTGTATATTTATTTTCTTACTCTTCTTATATATATTGTTTGTTTACTTGCACTGCTGTAACTGGAGCCTCATTGTCTTGTCTCTTTATATTGTCATCTCCGGGCGACACGGGCGGCTCCGCGAGGCTCCAGACTACGGTAGCTGTAATGCTCCAACCTACGGTAGCTGTAATGCTCCAACATCATCCATCAAGCGGTGCGGCTTCGTAGCTTACCAAAGTCGTACTAAAACATTTTTGACAGATTGCTGAGCGCCGTGTACCACATAAAATCGGTTCATGGTCAGTAAGAACATCCAGAATTCATACATAAGGTGCATTGTCAACTTTTGAGAAAGCTGTTAGCTCGTTAACACGTTGATGCCGTCCAGCCCCACGCACGGGGCGATCCGCGGTAACGGAGATTTGCTGTGTCCGTCTTGTTGTTGCCTGCAGGTGAAGCGATGGGGGAGGGGGACTTGTGCTCAGTGAAGGAAAGGCGAGGTCGAGTAGAGACAAAAGAGAGGCAAACTTGCGGCTCTACAAGTATAATTATAACGCAACATATAGCGGTTTTTGATACGGGCGACACGGGCGGTTGCCCGGGGCGGCATCGTGGTGGGGGGCGGATAAAAAACATTGCTCGTACTCATGCTGCCCCGGCATCAGCCAGCGCGTACTGGGAATGGCATAGGCACT